ATTTTCTGATTTGAAACAAATTGATTTTCCAACACGGATGATGCAGTCAATGTTAGTGGATTTGTCTGATATATCAAATATGCAGTATCAAGAAGAACTCGCAGAAATGCAAAATGATAAGTCAGTCAAAACTTTATTTAATATAAGGGGAGTGATGGCATGGCTTTGTGAGAAAACAGAAATCAAATACCCAAAATCAACCAAATGTGCAAGAAAACTATTGCTACCGTTTCCATCTTCGTATCTAGCTGAATTTGGATTTATTGCTGTAAATGATTTACTGTTAAAAAAAGAAATCGTCTGGATATAACACAACGGGGATACTTGAGACTGAAGCTAACCAAATTGGAACCTAACATAAAATCTCTGTGCAGCAAGGATCTCACTAAATTAAAATATTATAGAAAAATCTTTATTAAAACTAGTATTTGAATTTTAGTTTTTCATTATATGTTTTGAAAGTTTACTTACTGTGTTTCGTTAACAATTTCCTAGTGATTTCTTCCTAAAACCTATCACTTAAGTTTCTTAAGTGAACAATTCAATTTTTTATTATTAAAAATTATGTATACGTTACATAGGGGGGCATAAGAATTTTAGAATGACTTAGGTGGGGCATGGCACAAAAAAGGTTGGGAAACACTGATCTAAGGTAATATTCATATTTGTTAAAAATTCATATTTGTCGTCCTGTCTTATCCAGAATTGTCTTGATAAGCTAAATGATAGTACTTTGAAGGATGCTTAAAAAGCTAAATAATAATTTATGATTTTAAAAATGTATCTAACCTATTTAAAAAGAGAAATTAAATTATGAGAAATACGAACATAACTGTGAGGGGAAAGAAACAAATTTGTAGAAAATCATTTTAAAATTTTCAAACTGTTGCTGAGAGAAAAGCAATTTGTACTTAATTTAAAAAATATCTTCTTAACTTTGCTAAAATGATTACAGAGGGGATATAATAAAATTATAAAAACTTTAAATTTAAAATTCTTCTGATGATACTTTCATTATAAGTATGAACATGAAATAATTGTTTTTCTACAATGAAACTTTTGGAAGCCCTATTTGAATGACAAACTTTTTTTTACAGTGAGTATGGATTATTTTCTGTTCACCTGGTCATAGTAACTGTTTAATTCCCTTCTCAGGGAAAATTAAGCAATAATTATTGTGATATCTATAGTATGATTAGGCATTTCTCTGTCCGTAAATCAGATTGAAATCAAACTTATCTGGTGCGGCCATAGTCTGCAATAAATAAGTGGTAAAAAAAATGTTTGCTTCTTTGTTGTTTTTAATGGGTTGCTAAAAATACACATGTTTTTGCCAGCTTACCATTCAAATTTTGATTTCGGTAGGTGATTTTAGTATGGATTGCTCTATCTCTTATAAATAAAAAGAAAATAAATAATGCTCTTGCCCTGCTTTATTCCAGACATAAAATTACAAAATAATTTTTCTATTTTGCTAATCTTTCACTGAGGCAAGGTAACAATTTTAGTTGTAGTTAACATTTCCTTTTTTTTAAATTCCCTCTGCAAAGAGAGAATTAGTTTATTTTGTCGATTTTTAAAAGTCTGTGAACGAATCCATTTTGAAAATAAATGTGTGACTTTATATAACAATATTCCATGAGTTAAAAAATGAATTAAAAAAACAATTTGCACTCTCTTATTATGAATTTGGTGAGATAGTTTCAGTATTATTCTAATTGTTTTTTGTATTTGAGTGTAATAATATCTTTAATCGAATTACTAGATCCAAAAGTGAGCATAAAAGCTTTGAATTAATGAATTTAATTCATTTTGCATCTAATGGATCAATAATTAGTTTCATTACAATACAGTGATATTTTCCCTGCTAAATAAAGATTTAATAAATTAAAAACTTTTCAATAAAAAGAAATTAAAAAAAAAACACACACACAGTCAAACCTTTTAAATCTAGATTTATTTTTTTCACTCTCATACTTTTTTATATTTTTTTAAATATTATTTTCATGAATTTGTAATTGGGATGTATTAATATATATTTATTCTGAAACAAATATTATCAGTATTCTTCATTCTTAAATAAATCTATGGCTACAGAAACATGGACAATATACAACCTTGTTGACTTATTAATCTTTTGAATCCAGTAAGTTATATTTTCATATGCGACTGACGCATATTTTTTTGTGTGCTTCCTTCCTTCTCCCATTCAAATTGTTTCGCCAATTAAGCAAATTTAGATAAAAAGACATAAATTTTGGATGTAAAGTTTGATTTTTTTTATTTACATATTTAAATAATAACATAGTAATGAAATTTAAAAAATGATGACTTTATTGTGTTTATCATTGTTTTTAATCAATCCATTACATTTTACTCAATCCATTGTTTTTTAATCGATCCATAAATGTGCATGTGATTGTGGCAAATATTTCTGTAACTAAACATGTGAACATTTATTGTTTGGAAAGTGCTCTTCATTCTGTTCTTAATTTTAATATGTAATATAATTTTGATTAATTTTCAATAGAAGTTAGTCTTACGTTTCTAAATTTCATTTTTTACTTAAATTTATTTATATCTGAATTTTTATTCAGGAAATCCTGACGCAGAATTGTAATGAAGCGTACTTTTGTGTTCATCAAGAGAGATTCTCTTTTCCAACCAAAAATAAAACTTAGTTGCCAGAAAAATAGTTTATATCCTTATGTTTTTCTGTGTGTTATATGATTATTATAACTTAGTTTTTTAAGTATTGTATTATAAATTCAATTATGTTCAGGCTTCTCTTCATCAAGCATGCTAATCTTTCACCTTTTAAATCCAAGTGAAATTTTTTATATATTGACCTCTGAATAAGTATTTATTGTTTGCTTCAATTCAAAATGCTTTTTTTCTCTCCAAAGGTTGATCAAATGAACAAAATAATTGAAGTAATTAATCTCCCACCTAAGTCTATCATTGAGCAGGGTCATAAGTCCCGGAAGTACTTTGAGAAGCTCGCAAATGGCACCTATGTGATAAAAAAGTTAAAAGATGGTGCAAAGGTAATGATGTCATCTCTCTCTAATGTCTTTCTTTAAGCATATTAACACGGCTTTAATGTATAATCCTTTCAGTTATATGTATAACTGTTTGATTGCTTAAACATATTTATTGTGTTATTGATTATTTATTTTTAAGATTGGAAGGAAAGAAACTTCATTTGAGATCACATCACATCTTGTTATGACTTACCCCAGCTTAACTTGAAAGTGTGTAATATGTTAGAAAATGTTAGCTGTTTATTATAGGTGTTGGTGTATGGTGTAGCAAAGCATGTGTTAAAATTAAAATAATTTGTGGTAATCTCTAATGCTGAATTTAATTATGAATACTGTGGGACCTCAATTCAATTAATCTCTTTTTTTTACCCAATTTTACAGCTCGATAATTTTTTCTTTTCTTACCAAATCCCTATTTAATTAATAGTTTAAAAACTATTCAACATTTCTTATTCAAAAATATTATAATTATTTCAATCTTAAAAAAATTTTGTTGGTTTTTTACATATTTTATTTTTCCTTTTTTTAATTTTAATTGCCTAAGTGTTCTTCTGTCATCAGACCTTGATAGCATTCGCTCTGTAAAAATTAGTCCCAGAAATTTGCTTATAAAATAAATGATAGCATAGTCTGACAAAACCAGTTTTTTTTTTTTTTTTGCAGGGTTCATAGTTGTCTTGATTTTTAATTTTATGTTCTGATATTTCTGATTTTTTAAAATAATGGTTTTAAAAAATCGGAAAAATTTGATTTTTGATTTAATTAATAGTGTGTATAAAAATAGCAAAACTCGAGCATTCCAATTTAGGGTCAGCCTACTTATATGTGTGGTTCAAGCGTATAGCCTTATCATATTGTTTGAACCTTTTACAGCCTTTTATATATATATATATTTAAGTTTTTGATTAACAATTTTAAATAATCAAATTTTTATGGTGATGAATTTACATGTCATAAACTTATTTATTATTTTAAGCAAATTCAGTAACAAATATTGTTAATGATGAATGACTGATTATGTTGCTTTACAATGATTGATTTGTCTTTTTCATCTGATTTTGACGATGAATCAATTCTAATCAACATAATCACACCATATAATATTTAAATGTTGAATTGAAGAATCTTCCACTAAATTAAATTTTGTACAAAAATGTTTTTCATTATGTTTTAATTTTGTGATTATTGAAACCATACTTTAAAATTATTTTATTCAGGAAATATTAAGCTCAATCACAAATTTTATATTTGTATGAGAGAGAAAATTAACCCTTTCGCGCCGACTGTCACATATGCATGTCAGCAAGAAACACACTCACTTCCCGACCGACACACCGGCGTGCCAGAGCGTTTTCTCGTTCACCCCCGACCGTCACTCATTGCCAGTGTCCTGGAACGTTTTAAAAAATTAAATTTCTGCCGGAAGATGGCATTGTATTCCATATGGTTTTAGATGCATGTAGATTTGATCTTCTACTCAAAATGAGAGTAGTATGACTCACATACACATAGTTTTTAGGGGAAGGAATGGAGGAGAAAGAAATGTTTTATGACGGCTCTTTAAATTCGCATGTGGTATTTGTTTACAGTGAGCAGGGGAGGTTTTTTTCTTCTTCTTTTTTTTCGCTACAGCGTTAGGTATTTCGATTTGCAGTCCAGTTTTTAGTGCAATGTTAGTGTTTTCAAATTTTTCATACGAAAAAAGAATTTTAAGTCATACATCCCCTTTAGTTTTCAGATTTATAATGTTAAAAGTTATTAAATGGTAAGTATATAATGAAAATAAAATGTGTAAAATGTATATTTAAACAAGAAATAGCTTTAATAAATAAAGTATCTATAGATATATATGTAAAGCATATGCCTTTTAAATATTCTACAGAATATTATTAAACAATGTGTTGATATTTCGGTAATTTCATGGATTTAGGCTTAACAGCAAAAAATCCTCCGGCCCTGAACAGACACTTGCGAGAGAGACTACCGGCCTCAGCGATAAGCGCGAGTTTGCGCTTCCTGTCACGAAAGGGTTAACTAATTGACACTGATTATATTTTGATGCAACAGTGCTATAAAAATTTTGCATTTATTGATTTGGAAAACAAGAGATGCAGAAGTAATAGATTATAGCCTGATTGTATGCCTTTAATAGCTCACTGAGATTCTGCAATCATTAAAAACTCAAATTTTTAAAAAAAAAAAATAAAAAAAATTAATTGATCATCTTAATTAACAATCTCTAGGTTTCAAGGAATTATGATTCCTTGGTACAGTAATAGTTATTGTTGCTTATAATAACATTAGTTAAATTGACAATCTGCGTAGTCAGGAAAAAGTTAAATATTGAAATGTTCATTTTTAAATGTTTTTTTCTTGTAGTATTTGCATTGAAATTTAATATCAAATAAGGAAATTTGTTTAAGTTCTTTATAAAATTATTATTTATAGTTAGCAGAAAATTTCTATTCTGTTTTTTATTTGAAATATTATAGTTCTAGAATTGTTATTCCTTTTGCTACTTTTACATGACTCATTAGTGTTTTTCTTATACAATGCAGTATCGTCCTCCTGGTACAAGAAAGCTTCATGACATTCTGGGAGTGGAGACTGGTGGACCGGGGGGCAGGAGGCATGGAGAACCCGGTCATAGTGTTTCAGACTATTTAAAATTTAAAGATTTGTTACTACGAATGTTAGATTACGATCCAAAGACTCGAATCACGCCCTATCACGCTCTCCAACACAGTTTTTTCAAAAGAACGGCCGACGGAAGTACAAATACTCTCCACAACACAATATTGAGTCCACCGATATTAGACGTGGCCGATCCCGACTCCCAAGATGAAATCGAAAGGAAGACGAGTGATAGGTCCAAAAAGGAAGATATTGCACACTTCGCGACAACGTGTTCATCGTTCGGACCAACAGGTAATTTTGGAATTGTATATTAAGAAGGATTTTTGTTTTATGTTATTTATTTATATTTGTGATTATTTTTATTTTTTGAGCTTTAATGTCACAGAACTTTCCTATTAAAGTTCGAATATTTTTGTTGTTTTTCAGTATGGGTTACTATATTTAAGCCTGTAGTATACTAAGTTGTTTCTAATTATTAATAATACTGAAGTATAATGTTACTTACATGAATCATTGACAGTAACGTTCTAATATAAGTTTTTAAATTCTTGTTCTTCTGAAAACTGATCGGATTTGAAATAATTTTATTGTGTAGGTTGTTGTTAAATGTATTAAAAATCTTACGGTCTCAAACTTGAAGAATTAGAGCAAACAACCTGTAGTCCTTGAATGGTCAATGTGCGGCTTGTTTCTTTTAGCCCATGACTTGAGGGCAAAAAACTGCATAGCTAGCAAAAAAGATGTTGTGATTGTCATTCTTTTCACTCTAATGTGCTTTATGTTCTAAAATATCATTTTACAATTTTTTTCCCTCTGTTAAAAGCAATTTTTAAATGAAGTTAAGAAAAGAAAAAAAAAATTTTTATGAATATTTTAACTTTAATGTCAATGATTTATGCACCTTTTCTATTTTAAAAATGTAATATTTTTGTTAAAACAAAGTTTATAAAATTCAAGAAAATTTTTTATTTTCTATTTATTATAAAACTTCTTAAGATGAAATTATCCATTTTTAAAACCATGAATTTCAATGTGAAGCATAATTCTTTTATTTAAGCTTAGCATTTCTTATTAATATTTTTATCTTTTTTTTTTTTAGCACAAAAAGTTTTGATTAGTGTTATACATACAATGAGTATTACATATAGCTACAATGATCACAATGAGTTATACATACTTTCTAAAAATAGCTGTGTTAGATTATATAGGAATGCTGCTACAGACACTTTCCTTAATTTACTTTCATAATACATTTTAATTCAGATAATGAAATAAGAACAAGCATTTTATTTTAAAAAAATTGACTTTACTGTGAATTTAATTATTCCAATGAAAAATGTCTGCTGCAAGATCTAAATTTGGTAGTAAAAGTAAGCTCTATGTTTACATAAGATCATAATTTTAATTTATTATTTAATCTTAAATGACGGATTTTAAATAAATTCATGTTTCAATAGCTAAAAAGGACAATTGGAACAGTAGTAAACTTTCCATTTCCAATGCTGCAGCACTCCTCAGAGTGCAGGGCAAAATTAGAAAATTTTACTTTGAACCAATTGCCTGTTGAAGACTTTTTAAATGAAGTAAATTTATAAAACAAATTGCCAATTTTTGAAAAGTTTAAGTTAAAAAAAATTATTTTATTATCAATGTAAAACACTTCGGTTGAGGCATTTCGTAAAATATGGAAGCATAAACAGACTCATTTCTAAAAGGAAGCATAGTTTTAAGAAATAACATAAAAGTAATTTTCTGAATGTTATAAAATTTTCATAATTAAATATTTATTCTTAAAAAAATAATAAAAACACATTAAGTATTTTTGATGAAAAAAAAAGGGGTGAACAGGTAAGGATTCACAGGCAAATTTAACTTTTATTCTCCGTTTGTTACATTTAATTGGCTGGTGGCTACTATAAATTTTGCCCTATACCTCAGAAAATCTGGCTAACGGAACACACTTTATTAGCGAACATTTTGAATATATATTGCACGACATAAACATTTAAAGTACCAGCAAGGCTGAAATTTTTGCTGCTCACTATTGCCACAAAAAATATAAATGATTTTCAAGAACAGTTTTAAGGAACTTTTTGTTGTTCAAAACCATATAAGACCGAAGGAAATGAAAAAATGAAACATGTTTATTGTGTAAAAAATACTGTTGTTAGTTAAAATTTTTTTTTAACTGTTCCAATATTATTCGGATATCATTAAAATATTTATTAAAGAAATCAGAAAATTAGGACATCAGAAATGTTCTGATACTTTTTATACTTCATATATATATATATATTTCATATGCCATACGTCAAATTCAAGCCTGGCATTAAACTCTGGTCAATTTATAGAAATTTTGAGCAAATCATCCAATCTCTCAGTCTTTAAAGAGTTTCTGTATGTTGTCTTCAGTCTATTGTGACATCTGAAGCCTCTCTCACAGGAAAATGTGATCACTTGTAGATCAGCACGAATACATTATAATCTGGAGCTTATTCAGGAATCTTTCTGAAAATTCTTTACTGTTAAAATTCTCCAGCACCTGAGTCAAATGTTAGTGAAATGAACATAATTTTGCCCACTCTGCCAACATAACATCCATTTATTCGTTAAAATGATTTGAGTTTAAATACACATGCTTCATCTTCTCTAACCCAAATTCAAAAAGTAGTTCCAATGTGTCAAAAGTATACAACGATGTTAACACATTTGTTGACATGGATTGCAATCTTTCTGTGATCAGGGATGATTGTATTTCGGGTTTCTCGTTTCATCCTTCCAGGCCTAGAAGCTCGGAGCAGGACATGCGATTTTTTCGCGGATCTAAACATACTTTAGGGCGATTGGTTCACAGACTTCCCCGAATCGAAACTTATAATCGGATAAAATGTTCACTGCAATCTGAAATTTAAAGAAATAGTTAAGATATAAAGCAAGAATTACGAGTTTTGCAATCTGAAATTTCAATTTTGAAACTTTCATTAAATTGCGTTAACGAGACTGTTTCGTGCATGTTATTCTTCCACCAATTTGATTTTTTTTCCTTCGGTTAGTTGGATTTTTACCATTTTTAATATTTGAAATTATGCTGGATCCACTAATATCGCAATTCATATTTAATCGATTTTAATATCAAATATCGATTTTCGTATTTATCCAATTCAAAAGCTACACATTGTGAATTGTATTCACAAGATTTAAAAATCGTTCATTGAAATTCGTATTCATGTGATTTAAAAATCCAATATCACTGTTCGTATTCATGTGATTTAAAAATCCAATATCCCTGTTCGTATTCACCTGATCTAAAAATCGCACATCGCGATTGGTATTTCTGTGATTTAAAATCCAATATCGCGATTCATATTCATGTGATTTTAAAATCCAGTATCGCGATTCATATTCATGCTATTTTAAAATCCAATATCGCGATTCATATTCATGAGAGTTTAACATCTGATATCGTGATTCTTGTAAGAACGAAGTTTTTTTCATAAATAAGTTACTATAAAGGTGCGGTATTCTTCATTGGAAGGTAATTTAATTTTAAATTTTAGTTTGAAGAATTATTTTTATTATGAATAGCATATAAATTAATATTTTGTAATCGAGTTTTTGTGCACATAAAATTTTCAGGATTTTCCACTTTGTGTCACAATCACCCCTGTGTGATGCTCATCACTGCATTTTTAATTAATTCTTTTCCTTAAGTCTGAAGCTATTTGCTCCCTTTTTTTAGTAATTGTCAATTTAAAACTCACAACTTGTAGAACATTATAGTTGTTTGACGTGAAACGCAATGTTTTATAAGACAAAACTTAGTTATTAGACCTAAATATTCGGTCGCCATTGGTGAGTTGGCGAGTTGAAATTTCACTCCCTGATCTATTGTAGCACTTAAATTTTGTCTTACGAAATCTGTTAAGAGAAATATGCTTTGATATTTACACAAGAGAACATTGTTTTGTAAAATTGCTATTGCACCTAAAGTTTTATGGATAAAAAAGTTTACTTAAATATATCTTTGTGATTCATAAGATTCATTTGAAATTCTGTAGCTGGTACTTTTATGGCTTTGTTGTGTGTGACTAAACTTACCCTGTGTAATACCAAATATTTTCTTTCTTTTTTTTTTAAATGATGAATTATTATTTTTTTTTAGAAAAGTGTTACTGTCATACGAAAATTAAATATTTTCTTGAACATTATTCTTAATTTTTATGTGTTTTAAATGAATAAATTGTTTAGTAAAAACCTTGAATGTTGTGAAATTGACCAGATTTTTTCCTTTCGATTTATTGAATTAATACAGTAAAGGCTGGGTTTGAAGGCACGTGAGACGCACTCCCTTGTTAAGTGCTTCAAAGGAAACTAATGAGGAATAACAGGGTATGTGGATTTTAATCTAACACTTATAGCCACTTTACTAAGTTTTTGTTTGTTTTCACTGTGGAAACATTCACATTCTTTTTTTTGTTTGTTACATTTTGAATGCAATTCAATTAATAATTATTTTATTTATTTGCATTTAATAAACATCATTATGAAAATTTCCATACATTAAATTTTTAGTTTTTCTCTTATAGAAAAAAAAATTTATTTTGAGGAAAGATTTTTTTTTTCTCTTTTAAATAAGTTTTTTCAAGCATTCTTCCTATGTTTTAAACAATGTTCCTAATATCTGTGTCTTGACTTAAGATTTTTACCTTTAAACTTTAAATTATTTTTATGAAATATTAAGTGTTTGAATGTTTTTTTTTCTTATGAAAGAAAAAACTTTTTTTAATAAAAAAATCTTCAAACATTTCCCTTTTTTTTTATTTTTTAATATGTTTGATATATGGTACATATTGTTTGTTCCATATTTTATTCTATGCAATTTTAAGTCATTATTGCACTTGCTAAATTGAACGTTTGTTGTTAGCTAAGCACTTTCTTATTGGTCACAGATTCAGTGTTTATTTGGTTTCTAATAAAAAAAAAGTTATTCATCTTCAAATAATACACTTAACCATTTCTTCATTTTGTCCTTTATAAAGCTTTTTCTATAATCAATGAAGTAAAAGTATGGAATGTAAAACTAATAGTGTTAACTAAGCAAAGTGGCTTCTTTGAAATTCAGTGGTTATATTTCTATAGATTATATTTCCTTTAAAAAATAGAGTGCTTAATACTGAATGTTTAACTGAAATTTATTAGAACTAATTCCAAAACTAAGTAATTCTAAGAAAAGTATTTTTTCTTTCTGTCTTTATCATAAAAATATTTTTTCTTTCTTCTAAACTCTTTACTGCTATCCATTATTTGATCGTGAATATATTTCTCGTGTTGCCCCCAAAACCAGCCTATTTTCCTTTTACTGTTTTTGGAATGATGTTGCAGTATTTAATTAAAATTTAAGTTAAATTTTTTTTTTTTAATATATACATTTAACTGGTAAGTATTTGTTCAATACTACTATATTCTGCTCTGTGTTATCTGAAATAATTTAATTTTTATATTATGTTATTTTATGCCACTTTCGATTTCTGGTCATTTTTTTTACTCACAACACTTTTAGAAGTTAATTTCTTGAAAGTCATTAGTGCTTTAAATTTAATGTTGTACTTGTGCCCCTCTGCAATAATGTGTATAAGACAGTTTCTTTAAAAAAATTTAGAGGAAAAAAGAGGGGAGCAACAAAAAAGTAGTAAAAATTTTGTAAGATTCATCTAACTGGCATTCCTGAAAAAAGGCTTTAGAACTAGATATTAATGATTTCTTTGAACCAAATGAATAAATTCTGAAGTGATTTCAAAAATGAATATTGTTCTGTAATAGACACATGTAATATGTGATAAACATTAACAAATGTTTTAGTAACAGAAGATTTTAACAAACTAAATTTCAATCTCTTACTTGAGATACAATAGAGGAAAAAAAATGTGGTAATGTAATTATTTTTCTTTCTTTTTTTAATTGGGTTTCAGCTTCTCCAAGCGATCAAGAGAATGATAGGGCCGTCTGCATTTGAGGAATCTCTGGTTCCATTTTAAATATTTTGTTATTATACAGATTTGAGTCCTGATAAATAGCAAGCATCAAATTATAATCGTCAAGTCATTACAGTACCATTTACTTTAGCAATATTTGCTAAATAAAATATATTCTGTAGTTAAAATTCATAATTTAAATTTAAAAAAATAGCATGATGTGCATTTATGCAAGCAAATTAGACACTGATAGAATATTCATTTCCTCAATTTTCCGTTTTAAATTTTTTTTTAAAAAGTATTTTTGAGTATTAGAATTTCTTTTCAGTATGACTTCACATTGGCTGTTATGTTTAATGAATTGTTTCTTTCTTGTGATTAGATGCCAAGGCATTTACTGTTGGTGAACATACACTTGTCAGTCCAATGCATCAGCATCAGACCAGCTGTACCCAAACGAACATTTACAGCTCTCCTTGCGGTGGGACGTTTCCAACTGCTCCTGGAACATCAGCCATGGACTGCGAGAGCCCGCACGTCGTAGGCGGGGGCGGCAGCACGTGTTTCCTGCCCAATGGCAATCGGTGCTTACACAAGAACCACTTGTTCTATGCCTGTGGTGCTTTCAGCTCCACCGCTGTATGCTCCAGGCACCCCACGGACGCTCTTTCATCCGACGCATCTTATCAACTGCAGTCCGATGAAAACTCAGGACCTGTACATAATTTTGAATATCAGAAAAATATTCACTCATCCCATTTTTTGCAAGCAGCAGCAAAAGATCCACAGTTGCCTGATGATGACGTCAGGAGTCTTCAGTCTTACCAGCCACCCTCAGGAGTGGATCATCTGAGAAGCCACCCGTCTTCCTCTTTTTCTAGGACTTCTGTTGTGTCTTCCGAACTTACTCCTATGGACACGTCCATATTTACTGTTCCACAACAACAGGCACTGGACTGTTCCCAGGTAGGGGGCTCATTGCATCATCATTCATTTAGTGGAACTAATATTTATGTAAACACTCCCTTAGCGGGGGGAAAACCCCCTTCTTCTTCAACACAGAAGGACAGCGCAGAAGGAGAAACTTCCACTTACTCTAATGACCCGCTCATTACTCATTAACAATGAACCCCCTGTTTTAGTTCATTGACTTTTTTCTGTACATTTTTTCATTCAAGGAACAGGAATGGCTATAAAGGACACACAGAATGATTGCTTATATTTGTGTATGTCTGTAAATTATTGAACGCATGTAAATGAACCACCCCCATTCATCGGTCTATCTTTGTTTGCTTTCAGTGAGGGCAGCAGGTGATTGCTTTAAGCCTCTTCATATTTTTTAAATAAAAATAAAATTATAATATAAAATGGTATGGCTACAAACTTGTTTGCAGTCGAGACAAGTCTTTCAGCGAAAGCAAAATGCTGTTGTATTGTATTACGCATTTTTATCCGAAGTGTATGCCAGAGTTTTAAATTTCTTGTTTGATGAGGTTTCATACAGTTATGTACACGCTATGTCTGTGTAAAAAATCTTTGTTTATGCTATGAAAATATATATATCTTTTGCAAAAACTGAAATCAAACATTTTTTGTATATATTGTATTTAAAGTTCATTCTTTTTTTTTTCCATATGTATGTGTGTAATACTAAAGCCAATTTTTTAAATAATGCATCTCGTCTTAATTAAATTAAGTTATAATTTTCCTTGTAAATACTGTACAGTTGTATATATTCATATATATATACATATAATTCAATCATGATAATAATGAAAAGTTAATGTGCATTTAAATGCTGCCAGGCTCATTTTTTAAAAAAAATTGAAACTCATCTGATAATGATTTTTTACATCATTAAGTGCTGTATATGTATGATATATAAGCATAAAACTCAATCATAACAAGATTAATAATGTGCAACTAAGTGCTGTCAGACTAGTTTTAAATAAATTAAAATTCATTTTTTTAAATTTCATCATACCATGATATTGAAAATAAGTTTATGTGCATTTAAGTGCTGCCAGATTATTTTTTCTGAAAATTAAAATTTGTAAGATTAAATATGATTTTGTTTCATATTTTAATGAAACATTTGAAATTAATATAATATACTTCTCGCCATTGTATACATTTCTATTACTTGATTTTTATTGTTCATTCGGAAACCAAAGTGTGAGAAAGAATTATAACATTTCCATTCTGTATAAGCAATTTTTATTATGATTGGGTGTAGCATGGGTGACATCAAATTTTGATTAGCATGCATTGATATTTTAATTGTAATGATGTTTATTATCATTTGTCTTATCTTTTGTGCTAGTTTATGTCTGCTGGCATACACAATGATATAAAAATGCTTTTAGCAGCAATTAGTATTTTGGATTGAGATTTTAATTTCATATTTTATTTGTCTATTTAAAATATGTTTGAAAGCAGTTATGTAACAATAGATGTGCTAATAGGATTCCAAACAGTAGATATAAACAAGCGAGTATCACAGTATTGATTTAGAAATGCGTAGTTTGGTTACTTAACAGGAAAACAGCTTTCTAAGTAAGAGGGACGAAATGTATTATGTAGTTGGCTTGTAGAGGAAAATTATAATTTTTTTTTTAAGAATATTTTTCACTTTAAACTATATTAGATGGTATGCATAACATCTGTGATGACATTAGGGTGGTTGATATGTGGCAAGAATATAAAAGAATTGAATGAAAGGGCTGCAGATTCATGTTATTGTTTGCTGAATCTCTTATATGAAAAACTAACTTAAATTTTTGATTAATTATGCAATAAAAAGTATTTTTTATATCTTCCTAAATAGGTGTAAAATGATCAGGCATGACAGCCTGGGATTAAAGACCTTCAGTTAAAGATTTTTCAAAAAAAAAAAAAAATCACTTTATCTGGGCTGCCAGCCTTTTATTCCAATTATTCTAAAATTTGATTCCACAGAATCAAGCCATCATTGCTTTACCCTTTTTTTCAATTAGTGAAGGGCTTTGATACAAAAAATTTTCTTGAATGGATTTTTTTAAAACTATTCTGGCAAATACGGAATACTTTGTAGAATGCGGAGATTAATTTTTAACTATGAAGTCAACCTCTGAAATCTTGTATTTATTTCTTGTAACAGGTACTTCATACAATATCATTCTTTTCTTCCTTCATCATTTTGCGAAAAATTTCCTATTTCGTCATCCTTTTGTCTTGATATATCATTCAGTGATATAACTTCTTTTAATATCTTTCAATCAGCATCAATATTTTTCAATAATATTTGCTAATCAACCGCATGTTGCAAGATTATTGTCCACGGTAACTTCTTTCTCATAAGTTTTTTCCAATCTTAAAGATGAATATATTTTTAGTTATCTTTTTGTTAACTATTTAAAAAATGCAAAAAAATGCTTTATATAAATTAAATTTAAAAAAAAATTTTTTTGATGAAAAATTAGATGAAATACTAAAAAAAAATGTGTTTCACAAGCATAAATAAAATGCTATTTTGTGACAAACACGGATCAAAACACCTAATCAGTGTACCATCCCTTCACATTCTATTGATAATAATCTGTTTCTGGAGGTTCACATAATATTATTCTGCGGTGATCAATGTATCGTTTTTGTATTTTCGGAGTGACATTAGAACCCTACTTCATATGAAATGAATTTGCAGCCTTTTGACTCTATTTTTTGTAAAGTTTATTTATGCCTCATATCAAACCTCCTTAATAAAAAAAAATGTGGTTTTTAAAATGTTAGTTGGAAAATATAATGCTTACATGACTCGTTTTTTTTAAAAAAAAATTAATTTTAATTCAAAATGTAGTGATTTTACATTATCTTCCCTCAGCATTAAAAACGGAAGACAAGTTTTAGTGTATATTTTTATACTCATGATTTTAAGAAATTTTGCCAAACAAAAATCTGTGATTTAACTTGATATAGTTCAATTTTCCATCTTAAAAAAAAGCTACTCATTTCATTCTACATAGTGAGATTTGTTTACATTAAAATAAGAAAAGTGTGGAAGGGGAAATAAGAATTGCAATAAATTTATTTTTCAAATATATCACATATATAATATATATCTAAGGAAAATTTCCTATTTCTGTTTCAGAAATACTATTAAATACTTGTTTAATATTAGAAAATTGTTCTTTGCACATTTTAGTCGGTATGTCACTTGCAGAAAAGTAAAAGTTGGTAAATGCTTTTGTTTCTATTTAAATATACTTTTGAAAATTAAAAAATAAATTAAGAATGATGTTAATACTGTTTGTGTCAATGAAATGAAAATGGGTTGAATAGAGAGTGATAATTTCTTTTGCAAATAATATTTCTTTGAAGTGATGCTAATTTGTATAGGGCAAAGTTAACTGTTGCTGTCGATCTCAGAGCGACTAAAAATGGCACATAATTGTTTAAAACATTATTTGTCTGGCACCATTTTTTTTTTAGTACTAAATGCACCTCATGTGCATAATATTATTAATTTTAAATATGGACTCATTATTAAATATTTTATAATCTGACAATGACTTTGTTTCCCGCTTGTTCCTTAAATATTTTGAAACGAACATAGTAACTGATACCATATTTCGATAAATGCTTAAAAAAATTACTTGCATAATTAATTACAAAATTTCTTACATAATTAATTACAAAATTTTTTACATAATTTTGCATTTACATAATTTTTAATAGATAGCCTTTATTCTCGAAAATTTTTAAACTGTTTAGATCATCCTTATTCCTTTCAGTTCATTAGTGCTGTTGATATATATGCTTCCTTATTATTAATTGATATATTGTAAGTTATTATTTTGCCGAAACTTAGTTGAATACTTGTGTTAACTAATTTAATTATGTCCAATGAAATTATATTTCTTCCCCCTTTGTTAATTTTGTTAAAAGATGCCCATGACTAGTTGAAAATGTTTCTAAATAGTGGTAGAATCATTCGAAAGACTTAATTAATACAAAAAATAAAATGTCTTTCAATTTGGACCTTAAAAGTATTAATTAGTTAAACTTTCTTTTGTATATTTTTTTCTATATGGTCTGTATTTAAAATATTATTTAAAGTCCATCTTTTCTAAATCTGCATATTAATTGTAACATTTTGATCTTGCAACAGTTAGAACTAACCATGTTGATAATTCAAGCTGATTCTGAACAGATTTATGTTCTGTTTTAAAGTAAAAGACATTTGAGTTTTATAGCAGTTTCTTGTTCTTTTTCTTTTCTTTCTTTCTTTCTTCCTTCTAATGATAACCATATTTTAAAAAATATCCCTATTAAACTTTTCATGGACATAGATGCAACTAAGTGTAAATTGTTGGTTTGTAAGCTTTTTCCCCACTGAAAATAGGTATTAAGAGGTCTCATTTTTTAAAATGATTTTTATTAACTGAACCTTGACTGCCATTGAATGGAAAAGAACAGTTTTAATATGTACAAATCATTTAGTGTACTAACTTTTATTTTGAAACTTATATTTGAACGAGCATGTTGCCTATTAAATATATCTAAAATATCTGTTACATAGTGATTTGGTTTGATGATAGTATGGTAAGTATTAAAAATGGAATGTATGTTAAAAATATTTTATTAAGTTCTCATTCTGCGAAATATATGTTTAATAGAAGCAAAATTTATTAATTTTATTGCTTTGGCTACCACTTTATATTTAAGACACAGCAAATATATGTTATATAATATTTTTTCAATGTGTTATTTGTCACATTTACTGTTTTTTGTGTTATTTGTCGCATTTACGAGTCAATGTAACTTTATTACTTCCAAAAATAGTTTGATAGCAAAACAATCTAACTATTGCTTTTTATATATTTTAATACAGAAAAACCCTTTAATTAAAACAGCACTGTGATGAAATAAGAGTACTTTTATTCAGTTCTACTTAATAGTTATATAATTATTTTTCCGACCTTTTTTTCGTTTTTCTACCTGATTTTTGATTTTTATAACAGTATTTAATTAAAAAGTACTGTTATAAATTAAATACTGTTATAATGTATTTAAAAAATGAAAATTATAAATTTTTATTGCATCAATAATTAAAGAAGAATTACAATTCTTTTTCCAAGCTCCTCGTAGTAAAATTAATCTAAGATCTTCCTGTTGCCAATTTAAGATACAAAAAGAAAAAAAACTTATTTTTATTTCTCTTAATTTTTTTAATTTATTGCTTTTAGATGTCAGATGCTTTAAAAAATTTTAACTGTGCATACCAACTGAATAAATATTTTATTTCACAATCCCATTTTTTTTTCTAAATCATTGACATTAATTTCATTTTTCTTACATTTACATTGAATAAAATTTTGCACAAGTGCTCTTAGAATCAGTAACAAAGAAATTTTATTTGACCCCTTAACATTAATGCTTTAATTTAAATACCTATTCTAAGCCTTATTAACAAACACATCACTAGCTTAAACATTGTTAAGCGACTAAACCATTCAATCAACTATGCAGTATCAAAACATCGAATTCTAAATTTCTTTTCTATTTTAAAAAAATTATTCTTCTGCAATATATAGAAATATGCTTAATTATTAGAGTTGCAAGTTTCAAGAGTTGCTGCGATTTGTGGCAGATTCACAAAAAGTTTTGACAAATTCATGGGATTGTAAATACAATAACTATACAATGTATGCATTTTAACACTTGGACATGATACAAATAATAAAATTAAAACATATAAAAGAGCTGGAGAAAATATTCATATAAATTTTTACAATTGCTATTCATCAAATATTTGTTTGCCAGCATTTCCATATGTTTTTCAGCCCAAAGGATTTAGAGATTTCAACTAGCAACGCAATAGCCTGTTTTACACCTCTTTTTTTAATTCTTTTGGTTAATTAGAGAAATAAGTAAACTTTTTCTACCCTTTGTATTGTTATTGTACTTAAGGGAGAAATGGTATTGTTATTAATTTATTATTCAAAGCATAGAAAGACTTTTTTTCGTCAGGATTTGGATTATCTCTGAACTATTTTCTTGTTATTTTCAATTTATTTGTTTTCTTTAAAGTTTTGTCAATAATAATAAAATAATGTTATCAATTTTAGAAAAAGTAATAATTGCTATTAAAGTATAAGTGAAGAATTAAAAATTTTTAACATTTTAATCAATTTTAGTGTGAATCATTAAATTTGAAAAATATGCAGATTTCTTTTTAAAAAAACAATTAATGCAGCAATAAATTTGCAGCCCAAATACTAGCTTTATTTGAAGGAACTAAAAATATGATTAATCTGATCTAACTTTAATTTTTCTTTAAAAAAGAAAAAAAAAACTCTGTTTTCTTCAATAATATTGTCCTAGTAGTACAAAATATAATTTAAGGCCTTAACCAATGACATTGTCTGATGCTGGGTAGGTGATTGTACAATATTGCTCAGACTTTTATATTATTTAGGTAGATAAGGCACATTAGATATTTGAAAAAGTTAGAAATTTAATAAACTTGTCATGTTGAACTTAACGTTTATGACAATAAGCAATTTTATTCTAACAAGAATTACTTCATTTTCATGCAACTATTCTGTGGTATAGTTTCATTCATTTTCTATCCTAATGTATTTACCATTTTGTCTTTTGAATGTGTTTTTTTGTGTATCTTCAGTAATTTTTTATTTTTTTTTAATATTTTGCCAAATTCACGATTAAAAAAAATCTAGTCATTTCATACTTATTAATGTTTCACCTCCCCCTCCCATGCCTTTACAGTTGGTCACTAAGCATGAGTCTCTTACTTCAGAAAAAAAATTTCAAATATCTTTCTCTTCTCAAAAATTCTCTTTTGTTTTCTGCTCAATTATTTTATTTTTGTTAAAATAAATAATGATTATAAACATTGATTACTATATTTTTGTCGTTATTTCATTAGTAGTTGTGTTTTCCTTCTATGTAATGTTTCAAATCATTTTTGCAAAAGTAAAACTAGTACCTATATGGTCATTAAAATATCATGATATGTTTAAACTGTCTATTTAAATTTTTTTTCAAGAATTTTTTTTCGTCTACCACATTTTATTTATTAATTTGTGATTAAATTTAAATTATTCAAGTCCATACTGATACCTCATTCTCTTTCAAAATGAAAAAGAATAGGCAGATCATAGTTTTACTAAGTACCTTTTGAAAACAACTTCGATAACCCTATGTAAAATTTTTATTAAATTATTGTTGCACATGTATTATAGTAAGGGATATTAATAAGATTTTTATTCAAGAATGAAATCAAAATTTGGATGGGGTATCATTTTTTTAGTTATTACTTAATTTGATGGCTATTATAAAATATCTTTTTTTTTTCCCATGCGGACAAGCTTTTAAATTTTCTAGGGGTA